TAGAAATATTAGAAATGAGTCTGTTAATGCAACACTTTATAGAAGTGTGCTAGGTGCATTGCAGTACATCACCATAACCAGACCAGAGATAAGCTACTCAATTAACAAATTGAGTCAATTCATGAGAGCTCCTAGACACTTACTGGAGAACAGTGTGCTCAGATACTTGGCTGTTACATCTACCTTTGGCCTCTCAATCACAAACTCATCAAATCTCTTCCACTACACACTGTCCTTGCAACAAAATAATAAGAACAAATTATACCATTATGAGTTTCACGAATCCTCCTCCAAGAAGATGCTTCAGAAATAGTACCTAAATTCATAAAAAAAAAATGTCGGAAACAACCAAAAAAACAATGTTGTACAGGTAATTCATAATTTAAATTTTGGTGCACATTTGCAAAAATATTTGGGCATAAATCCAGATTGCATCATATATCATTCAGTTGTTGCTGAAATTCAAGGGAAGACAAATTCAAAATGTTAATTTGAAAGGCAATGAAAGTATAAACAGATAAAACTTAGAAGAAAATGAGTAAATTCGACTCGCGAGTCACAAATTCGACTCTCGAGTCACTAAAAGCAAAATAAAGCAGCTGAAACAAAAGATAATTTACTCTTGGCCCATGGTTGGTTGCTTGGGGCTGTCGATTAGGCACATCGTCTGATTTTTCCATCATTTCAGAGCTACTGAGCTTATAGAAAGTGTCATGAGCTCACGTTATAAATGGTCGCATTATATTTTCTTCCCTAATAAAAAAAAATAAAACTACAAAATTTCAACCATTGTAGTCACACGCACACAAACACAAACAAAGGAGGACATAGAAGCATTAATAACCTGCATGAAGTGGGTATCCGTATCCTAATCCGCGAAAGTCTCAAAAAAACACCCTCCCTGGCATCCTCGTCAATCATCAGCTCAAGCCTGAACATCCTATGAATCCAGTCTGCGAACATGTTGGGCTCACCCAAGTTGAAGCCTGATGTGTACCGGGACGTTTCAATTAGTACCATACCGGATCGAGAAAGAAAAAATATAGAAAAAATAAGCCCTATCAAATAAAAATTGAAAAAACCGAAATCAATAGGAATACATATTAAACGAACATGAAAACCCGAAAAAAATGCATCAGGATTTAGGATTTGGGAAATTTGAATGAAACTCACATTGAGGAATATGATATCTTCAGAAATGCACGGAGGTGTCTCTGAACGTTCCCGCATATAATTCGGGTAGAACTTACTCCTTGCTCGAATTTAGCCGCTAAGTCCCCTGTTGGTAGGGTTGTCGTTTAAGGACGATCTCAGAACTCAGTCAACGGCTGAACACAATCACCACTCTCTAGTCTCTCTGCCTCTGCTCGCCAGTGATCTCTGAATTGGCTTCCTTTAGTTTCATTTGACATCGGTTGACGATGGGTAAGGTTTGATAGGTGACAAAATGGGAGGTCTGGACAACTTTTTGGCAGAAGAGAAATGAGGGGTGTGACAAATAGTTTATCGATTGCTTAATAAAACATAAAATCAATTTATAAAACTAATCATGTTTTTAGATTTCAGAAATCTGATTTGTACCCTCTAAATGGTAGTTGTTCCCCACCTAAAATTCCTGTCCAGCCTCGCCAGTGACCTGTCAGGCTGCAGCAGTCTCTCTGTCACCATCTTCCTGCTCGGCTCCGACACTTTCCTTATCGTCTCCGACCACAAGCGAT